TCAACCCCAGGGCCATAGTGGAGCTGGAAGGATTAGGTAAACTGAAAAATCCAATGACATCGGGAATCGAACACAGTGCATCAACCAACTACGACATAGCGTGCCCCTTACTTCTGCTGGTTTATTATAAAATAAGTAATTCAAGTTTAAATATGGTTCTCTGTCAGATCCTTCTTTCCCCTCATGAAGAGAACCGGGCCACAGGACAAACTTCACAGATTGACCTGGAAGCATCTGAGTTAGCCAAACCTAAAACGAGAAAGCCCATCGGTACACTTACGTAATTTTCGTTATGTCAGATACTTCCGGCATTCTGTAGGCTACGCTTGTCATTAACAGACATGAGGTAACGTAATTCATTGCGAGATGCGCACCGAAAATGCCAACGCTTCTTGTGTACACTGACATATAGAGAGTTTGCTCTCGTAGCATGTTTACTTACTTACTCATGGAGCTGAGCCCTTCTTGAGGAGCCGCCAATTCTGCAGCTACTCAAGAATTTCCCAGCATTTTATGGAACCCGAAAGTTCATTACCGTGTTCACAAGAGCCCTCCACTGGTCCATATCCTGAGCCAGATCTATCCAATCCATACCATCCCATCCTATCTCTCTAAGATCCATTCTAATATTGTCCACCCACCTACGCCTTGGTCTTGCCAGTAGTCTCTTTCCTTCTGGCTTTCCATCCAATATCCTATACGCATTCCTCGTCTCCCCCATTCGTGCTACATGACCTGCCCACCTCATCCTCCCTGACTTGATCATTCTAATTATACTTGGAGAAGAGTACAAGTTATGCAGTTTTCTGCAAACTCCTGTGATTTGAAAAAAAAATTAATCGACATTACATAAGTACACATGCCCTCGTGTACCTAACACGTAACTTGAACTTCTGTGATTTAGCTGTGTCGTATGAACATATTTCAACGTTTCGGCATATGTTGCGACGCCCTTAAACACAGTGGCGTCCTTCTATACTGCAACGGAGCGGCTGAATCCCATATGTGAATTTATAAGCGACTTACTGGACTATGAATATGACACCGATTTCTATTGACAATATTGACTGAATGTTTCCAGTTGGCCTTTCCTGTAAAGAAGGGATCCAACTTGATAAATACGGGCCAGACATAAAAGCTGGACAATCAAATTTCGATGACTAACTTGTGGAGCAGACTGACAAGCTAACAGCAGCTCAGCTGTATAAAAAATCCGTAGATATTTATGGAATTCGAAGGTCCGTTACCATGTTCACAAGGGGCCAGTCTCTATTCTAAGCCTGATGAATCTAACCTACTCCCCTAATTCCTAGTCCCTTATGATGCACTTTAATACTGTCTTTCCACCTACGTCTGTATCTCGTAAGTGGTCCCTTCGGGGTTTCTGAATAAACTTTTGTCCCTATCATACATTCTTCCATCCTAAAGGTAAAAAGGAAAACTTGGTCCTGTGCCTAAATACTTAAACACTACGCCATGAAGCAGTATGCGGGAGTGCATGTATAGATCCACATTTTCTTGACCTCAGCACTAGCTGGAGGTGAGTCGTCAGCTTCACGCCCCGGCCGCTTTACCGCCGGGGAAAGAGCCCCCGGTACCCATTGGATAGGAGGTTGGGTGGACTCCAGAGCCGGTCTGGACGATTTGGAGAAAATTCTTGAACTTAGTGGAACCTGAACTCCGACCCCTCGGTCGTCCAGCCCATAGCCAGTCGCTATCCCGGCAACCAGCCTACCTGACATACTCATCGTCATCATCACTCACGTAGCTGCGCCCTTCTCGAGAAGCCGCCAACTGAGCAACTACTCAAGAACTTCCCAGTATTTTATGGACCCCGAAGGTTCATTACCGTGTTCACAAGAGCCCTCCACTGGTTCCTAACCTGAACAAGATCAATTCAATCCATATCATTCCGTTATATCTCTCTAAGATCCATTTTAATATTGTTCACTCACCTGCGTGTTGGTCTTCCCAGTGGTCTCTTTCCTATTTGCATTCCTCTTCTCCACCATTCGTGCCACATGCCCTGCCCACCTCATCCTCCTTGACTTGATCAGTCTAATTATAATCAGTAGACGCCCTACCCGACATAATCATCCAAATATATGACGAATGCGAAACATGAAACTAAAATTGCACGACTGTCTCCAGTCTCCGGATACTTCCTCTCTGTTGGGACGAAATATTCTCCACAGCGCCCTACTCCCAAACGCCATTTGCCTAAGATCTCCCCTTAAAGTGAGATACATTTACTTACTGACTCATGGAGCTGAACCCTTCTTGAGGAGCCGCCAATTCTGCAGCCACTCAAGAATACATTTAGTTATTGATTCCAGTATATTTACAGCGCCGTTATATCAAGAGAAGAAAGACGACGAATCCTGCGCAGCTAATGCTTCGTTGAGAAACGCTACCAAAAGCGAATTACTGGCACTTCCTAGTTTGTCGTGCACTCTATGTAATACATGGGACGAAGCGTTGTGACCGTGCGGCCTGGGGCGAGAGCGACCTCGAGGTTTCGGCTCCTCTCCGGAATGCCGTGTATGTATGTATCTGAGCCTTAGCGCCGGAAAGACTGGTTGAATTTAATTCACAATCGTCACTGAATAATTTACGTCGCTGTCCGGTGAATCTGAAAATCGCGTCTCAAAACACAGAGGCCCTTCACATGGCCCCAGAACGCAAAATGACAGTTTTCTCGAAAAGGGCAGCTGAGATTACATTTCAATAATCTGCGAATCCCACATCCCTTAACTAAAACTAACGAATGGTTTATTCAGGGAAAGTTGAGCCCACTAAGGTCCCGGAAGCGAAATGTCAGTTTCCTCGAAATCGGCTTTATGGATCAGACGGATTTCACTGTTGTTCGGCGTTCAGTAATCAACACTGGTCTACCGACCGTTTCCACGGTAACGCAGTCGAGGTTAACTGCACCGTTCTTTCTTTTTACCATGAGTTGAAAGCTGAACTTATCTACATACAACTTGCTGAGGCCGGTTCACTCCTCACGAGCTAGGATATAAACTTCATACCTTATCAGATAAAGAAATAAGGCCATCTTGACGCGGTCTCAAGGCCATCCAGACACACACACAATTAGGCGCCTTGAATCGCTGACGCAAGCTAATTGTTTTCGAAGCGCCTTAGGTGAAGCCACGATAGCGCAGTCGGTATAGCGGCTAGTTACGGGCTGGACGACCAATGGATCTAAGTTCGAGTCTCGGTAGGGTCAAGAATTTTCACTTTTCCATCTCTTCAAGACCGGCTCTGGGGCTATCCCTGTAACAGACCGTGAGGGCCCATAGGGTTGTGAGACGTCGAGGCTCCCACATTTTCTCTAGACAATCGGCTCAAAGATGGCGGTAAGGTTGTCAGTCTTAAGCACTGGCCGCCCTTTACCCCCCAGTAAGATTCCTGGTACTCATTTCTGTCAGAGGCTGAGTCGACCCCCGGGCCATAGTGCGGCTGGAAGGATTAGGTCAATTGAAAAGTCCAATGACCTCATCAGGACTCGAAACTTCGACCTTCCGGCTTGTAACACAGTGCCTCAACCAACTATGCTATCGCGTGCCCCCTAAGAAGGGGGAAACCACCTCAATCCGGACAGCAAAGCCTAGGAGGGCCTCGACCCATGTATCTCCCAAGTACAAATTTACAGCGTTATACAAATTTCATGAGCACACGTTTATGCGTCCACTTCGTGTAACCTGGTGCAATCGTCACACCAAACTCATTATTGGACTAAGAAACGTCTGAGTCATATGTTTCCGGAAATATCAACTTGCATGGGCACACAATCCAATGCCGAACTCTATGTGTGGGGAATTGAATCCCAACCGCGTGCGCGTCTATGTTTGTTTCCGTCGGAATTTTTGTAATTATGCACTTCTCACTGGCCTTCATATTAATTTACTGCCATTAAAATATGTTATTCTAACACACCGCACTGCAGACGGAGTCAATGAACGGTACAGATATCACGATGGCCACTGCATTCGTGCATAGTATTTTCACAGCAAAAATTGTTAAAAGTCACCAGTTATAGAGTTTACTGAGATCTATACTTTACGTATTAAATTTAAGCAGAAAGCTATGTATTACCAAGGAAAGGATATTATGCAACTTTAGTAAAAACAGGAACAACAGAAGAGAAACTTCAAGCACGAATGTAAAGTTAGATTATGACATTCCTATGGTATATTCCAAACCATGCGACGGGATATTTTGTTGAAGGACTAATTCTAAATCGCCTCTAAACTAAACTCCATGGCTTTCAGTCCGCAAGCGAACTATACCGACCGAGCGACCGCCGCTTGTCGGCGAAGTCAGGGCTAACTTTTGCGGATAGAGGGTATCGCGTGGTCAGCGCAACGAATCCACACGGCCGTTAATTTCAGTTTTCTAGACCGAAGAAGCTATTTCGTTTAAATAGCTCCTAAATTATCCTCACGAGGCTGAGTGGAACCCGTTTCAGACCCACTACTTCTCAGAAACTCTGGTAGCGCCGGAAATCGAACCCGGGACCTCTGGATCTGTAGCCAGTAACTCTGACCACAAGACCACAGAGGCGGTATAAATTACCACTGCAAGATATAAATAAAAAACACGCACCAAAATGTACAAAATGCCAAGCCTTTTCTTGTAATATACAATTTGTAAATGCATTCACAGGAAATTCTGAACAACACAGAAGTTTCACACAACCCAGGTGAACTCATGTACCAATTTAGTCCATTCAGTCCAACAGTAAATGGAGAAATCCCTAGATATAAAAGGAAATTTATAAGAGGGGGCAAATTTCCATTGCTATTGGCGTACTCCCTTTTAAGGAGTCGTGCCAGATGACTCAAGGATTCATGGTCTCAAAATTCTGAATCACCTCTGGCCAGAGCTGACATAGGAGGAGGAGGAGGAGGAGGATGAGGGCGATAACAATGACAGTTCAAGACATTCGAATGTTCAAAAGTAATTACACTGAAAAGTATTGATAAATTTCGTACCTGAGTCGAGGCTGCGGGTCCTGTCATGGACATCACAGTGGCAACCCCTGCATTTACCGCCGGGATGCTTAATCACGTTATCAAACTGCAAAATCCAATTTGTATCCTGACCCCAAACAGTGACGTCGGGTTCAGGCAGCGGGCTACGAACCCGCCACCCGCCCGGCTCTGACACTGGCATCACGAAAATGTTTTCATTTCCACAAATGTATTGCCTTCGACTTATGGATCACGACCCAAGCATTCCCACAGTCACACAACTCAGCAATCATTAACACCGGCAAACCACAAGAATAATAATGATCACTACTGTTAACACTGAATATGTGAAGCCCATTTATGCCTCAGTCTGGTATTCCTGAACCGAAAACCTCTCACACGTGAAACACGATCTAAGTTTCATTATAGGCTCATCATACACAGAAAGTACAAAATGATTAAGGATACGATGCAAGGACACTAGGACCAGCTTAGTCTCAATGGAGAAATAACAGTTACATATAAACACTTAGTTTCGAACCCCTATATTACTGCAAAAACTTTAGTCCTCTGCCCTGTGGGACCACTTATTTAAGCTGTGTTTTAGAAATCACTTAAGGTTCGTCAACATGTGGGGATGTAACGTTTTATTTTATATTTCTTTCAAATACAATTCTGCGAACAATCGCTATTACCGCTGTACAACACTAGTATTGTCTATCTTGCACTCGAAAGAGTGAACAGTAGGCCAGGCACAAGCTTCTGCGTAAGACAACAACATTCAGAACTGTTCAACTGTCACTGCCAACAATCGATAATTACACAACCATCTTTTTCAACATCACGCACACGAAAATCATGCTACAAATGTATATAGTATCCAGCAAACAGTGAATGTACCGGAAAGTTCGCTATAACCTACAGAAATACCGTTTGTTATAAACGTCATCTAAGGCGGAGGAGTTGTGACGTTAATTTCTCGCGGGTTCATTAAGTACAATTATTATGCCGATACTGACAAGTTTCGTCTGATATAGGTCAGTGTATTACACACAGATTAAGACAACTCCAACCTTGGCGTCCGTCGCGCAAAGACGGGCGCACGCTACTGGCTGCATGGCCTACCATAATACACGGCACTCTGCCGGTGAGTTCCCCCACCCCCAATTATATGGAGGGGACATTTCACCAAATGCGCTTCCTTGTTATTAGCTTTGCGCAAGCGCGTTTATTTTGGGCTTTATAACTGCTGAATCCCTCACCGTCAGTGGAACATTGACACAACAGCACAATCTCCTGGGTTGTAACACCGTGTAGTAATTTTAAATTCGCTTAGTGGGGGGGTGGAGTCCAACTGGGTCCACTCGGCACGGCGGCCACTGATTGGCCTATTGTATGTAGCCTGCCCCGGGTGATTATGATGATGGAGAATTTGGTGGAATGAAGATTGGCAGGGGAAACCGAAGTACTCGGAGAAAACCCGCCCCAGCGCCACTTTGTCCACCACAAATCCCACTTGACCAGACCCGGGATCGAACCCGGGCCTCCGCAGTGGGAAGCCAGCAACTAACCGCTTGAGCTATGGCGCGGCCTTCACACCGTGTAGTAAGTTCACCGACGTTTCGAAGGAACGTACGCCTATATATTAGAAGTCGAAGAGTAGACCGACCAACAAACCAGCAACAGGCAGGTCTTCTTGCCGCCGGCTTCTTGTGGAATTTGGAGGCAATACGTTCCTCCGAAACGTCTATCAGACTACATGGCGTCACCGCCGCGAGAACCTCTAACAGAACAGACGTACGTAAGAATAAGGTGACGTAAGTTGGCTCAAGCGGTAAATACTTTAGATTTGCATTCGGGAAGCACCCGGTTCGAATCTCGGCCAAGACACCGACTATCCTGCATGGAGCCTCTCCTGGTTCCCCTCAGTCACCCAAAGTGAATGCCGGGAAAGTATCGGGCAATACACCACGATCGCGTCCTCCCCAATTTGTTCAAGTTTCCCGAAAGCGATCACGTGTCGCAAAAAAAAAGAAAGGGTAGAGCTATCCCTGTAACAGACCATGGAGGCCCATAGGGTTGTGAGACGTCGAGGTTCCCACATTTTGTAGACAATCGGCTGACAGATGGCGGTGATGTCAGCCTTACGCGCCGACCGCCCTTTAATCCCAGGAATATTCCTGGTACTCATTTCCATTAGAGGCTGAGTCGACCCCAGAGCCATAGTGTGGCTGGAAGGATTACGTAAACTGAAAAAGAAAATCCAGTAACCTCATCGGGATTCGAACCCGCGACCTACCGGCTTGTAGCATAATGCGTCAACCAACTACGCCACCGCGTGCCCCGCAATACTGTATGTGATACCAAGAAAACACTATGTTCGTAAAAGTATTGTACAGAACGTACTTGCACTATTGAGGGCGCCTGATGAAGTTCGTTCCATTGCCGGGATAGAGCCTACCTACAAGCGTATGCAGGTTCTGGACTGAACTGTAGCAAGCATTACCCCAGTTCAATTTCCCCGCATTAGTACCCGATCATCAATCGTATCCTTTGTACGGTACACTACCGCACTTGGCAGATCCACGTCAAAATATTTCCAGTACTTACACAATAGACATAACACACTGACACAAAATACTGCTAGCTCGTTCATGACATACCGCATAACTTACGTTCTTGAGACGTGTTAATGCAAAAGAAAAATTGTTGCCGTGGTAACCAGAAATTGCGTACTTTCACAGCTGTAACCTCACCGTTACATTACTTCGAATTGTTACTTGCCAAGCGATCTCAGATATAAGCGTTACCTCACCGAGGGTCTCGATGTTACTCTCAGGAAGCGGCTTCACTCATGACGGAGTTCGTCTTCTGCTTCTAGTCTACATCCAGGCATGCTCTGTAATTGTATCGTTCATATTCAAGTAAAAGTAATGCAGAAGTACAACAAACTGGAACGCTGCATAAGGCCCGTCCTATTAGTACTCCACGGGCTGCACAATATATGTTACCGTTTAACGAGGGCAAAACGGCCTGTAAGGACCTTCATGGAACAGCTGATTTGTTACTTCCGTATATTTCCCGTTCCGGTCTAGAAAACCGAAATTAATGGACGCGGCCATTCGTTGCACTGACCACGCGACACCCTCTACCCGCTAAAGTTGGCACTAGTTAGGTAGTTAGTTATTGGAGAGGGTGGGTTTCCCCATGCACTGAGACCTGTATTGGTCCATTGTGCTTCCCTCTATGATTTCTACCAGTCTATATATCCTACGGTACTGGTGCTTACCATCAGTCCCGCCCAGCCAGCGAGACCGGCTCNGAGAAGTATCTATAATGCTTCCCCCATCTACCGGAGGTATTAGTGACTGCTGTTGGGCGGGAAACGTCCGCAATTTTGGCTCAGTGACCTCCTTTGGAGATATGAGGTTCTTTTACGTGCCGTAAAGCTACGACACGGGACCCACGGCTTAAAGTCCCTCCCGGAGGACTTGTTCCCTGAATTTTTCCGCCCTTAAAAATTCGACGACCTCCGCCGGGTATTTGAACCCGCGTACTACGAGTCATGAGGTGGGAACGTTACCTCTAGACTACGGAGGCCGCTTAAGTTGGCACTAACTTCGCCGACAAGCGGCAGTCGCTCGGTCGAAATAGTTCGCTTGCGGACTAAAACCACGGAGTTCGTTTTGTTTTTTTGTATGTTCCCGCAGTTGGACACAGCTCTACAATATTTATGCACTGAGGAGTGCTAATGAAACTGCAGATTTCTAAGGGTTCGCCAGCGAGCTGCAGAACATTCGGACAGAGGGCTTAAGGATGTGTGCACTGAGCCGTGCTGAAAGACTATCCAGTTGCCAGATAGAAGGCCGTAGCACATGTGCAATGAGCTGTGCTAAAAAAAAAAAAGAGTATTTCTTAGCGCAAACTGGTATCAACTGTCGTACAGGGAGTCAAAGCATATATACATCGATGTAGTATTGTGGCATCTTGTTGCACTGTTTTTTTCTTTCCCATGTATTCGCTTGTCTTCCGTGATACTCACACTAACAGTTTTAGCACTCAAAATTTAACATCTACACAAGACACAAACGAAGGAAATATACACATCACTATAAAAACATACGTTATCAACACAAGTTGTACAAAGAAAAAAGGGAAATTATGCTTCAGAATTTAAGGTTAAACCTTAAAGTTAGGAAAAATGTTACGACGGTAAATAAAAGTGCAGCAATTTCACAAAACAAGTTCAACGCATCTGATTATCGCCAAAGAGAGTACAAATGTTATGTGAAGAATGCGAATAGAGACATACAAAAGAAAAAGTTAAGAGATTTAAAATAATTTAAATTTTTAATTTTAAAACTTGTAGTGTGGGTTGCAGTGGAGATGAAAGCGAATATGTGAGAGAAAAACATATGCACTGAGTTGCGCCCAAGCAATAGCTGCCCGCAGCATTTGTGCTATTCTTGTCAATAACGAAATAATATCAAACTACTGACAATGTGAACTGTCTGAACTTCGAGACAACCCTTCATTTACCGTCAATTAATTTGGCTGTATCACTGACTGATTCAATTCTGAGTGGTATACCTCGCGTCGTTGAAGCTGAAATAACTACACACCTGTATACCGACAGATAGTGACTAGAACTACTTCGAACACAATTCTACTTCCCAGAATCACAACAGCGAATATCCATCACAATCGGTTCACTTAAAACCCGTCGACATCACTTCCCTTGCCGTAGTTATGAAATTAAAGTTCGATAATACATTGTGTACTGGGGTGAAGTATAGAGCGAACTTCTTGGCATATGACTAGCACAGGAACGGAGAAATTTTTCAGCATGCGAGAAAAACCAAACATCGGCCAGAATGGACAAATACCCTTCTCAATTACAGAGTTCTTCAGTGTTTATTTACAAACTTCCACAAAACATATTTCACGGAATATCAATGCCGTCTTAATGATCGGATCCAGTAGCCTCCAAGCTTTTCCAGGCTTGACCCGATTCACGCTACAACCGAAAGCAAAATTCCATCACTATCATTGTTCCTCATAAAGCGATTCTGCAGTACAAGCCGGGAGCCGGATTAGGCAGCAGGAGTAACCCTAGCACGTAGCCTACGACGCAGCGTAAACTGCACACAACATACTACTAATAACCTTAATATTATGTAATACTTTTCATGTTAAGAACGAGAAATATTGTATTAAATTAAGCTTTTCTTTCATAGATAGATTCTCTATGCGATCTTTTCAGCTCAAAAGGCCTACAGACAGTTAAAAGTCGTCCATTTACAGTTTTCGAACAACTGGAAGTATAAATATGCAAGAAAATGAACAGATAAAGACCCCCCTAAATTATACAATATATACTTAAGAGCTGTGCTCCTCAGAAGGACTTACGTGGTCTGACAATAAAGTTCGCGAACACATCTCAGTAAGAGTGCTACGTACCTCATTGCTGAATATCACTGTGGTCGCCTTCAAAGTACTCCAATTGGGAAGCTATACACCGATTCTAGGGCCCAGTCCACCCCTCAAAATAGTTCTGGAACTGGTTTTATGGAATGGCCTTCAGAGCTGCCGTCGTATTACTCCTGGTATCATCAATGTCACCAAAATGCCTTCCTTTAAATATTTCCCTCATCTTCGGGGAACAGAACAAGGTCACTTGGGTCTAGATCCGGTGAAGAGGGAGGGTATCCCAGCACAGTTATTTGTTATCTAGCTAAAACTCCCTCACAGACAGTTGCTCTAGTTGAAGCTCAGACATTCTCGCGACGGCGCACCAGAACACACTCAGACAGCAATAGACGCCGCTCAGAAAGAGACTGCCATACATCAACAACAACACAGCTGTGAACCGCTGATATGCCAACGTCATCAAACCATACTGAAGTTTCTGTCACGGAAAGCAGACGGTGGCGAGGTCATGAACTTTATTCTGACCTCGTATACACGAAACTCTACCATCCATGATGTTCAGTTGCTTATAAGAAAACAACATGTCGCTAACAGAGTAAAGAGTGATATTCAGTAACTCTCGAGGTGCCTTATATTAGACAAACTGAATAATCCAAACTACGG